ATTTTTTTATTGAGCTCCTTTCTTTTGTTAAGGTGCATATACATAAGAAGACCCCGATGTTATTCTTTTAAAAAAAAATTAAGGAGAGACAGAGAGAGTATCTTTATAACAATTTGGTGTTACCACATTTTACTCTTTTAATGTCAGTACCATATTGATTTTTATCATATTGAAAAAGGTGAACAAGATGATACTTAATTTATTTTTAGCTTCATCAATAAGAAGCACAAAGTATAGAGCCCTGATAATTTAAATGTAGAGAATGGTTCCAAATTATTACTCTGAAAGAGCAAAGAATTTTGAGTTATTGTATTACTTAAATGGAAAATTGATTAAAATGTTTTTACTACAAAGTATCTCAATTAAAGAAACAAAATTTTGTAACTAAAAAAAGAAGGGACATAAAGTAGGTGATAGAGTATCAATTCCTTAATAAAAAGAAGCTATTTTGGAGCTTCGATAATCATTGGATTCCATGAAGTGGTAGAGATTATCATTTTATTTAGCAAATGCAATCATCCTTCTTAACCCCATTTCTAAAATACACAATATAAAAGGTAAAATATAACACTATGTTAGAATATACAGTTCTTTTAGACAGATAATGAGTTTGTGAATAACTTAAGTACATGAAGAATAATTTGAAGTGTGAGAGGTTTGTTTATAAAAATGCCTTCTTAACCTGGTGCAATTTTCAAAGATTCATTGGTAATGAATATTTTCTTGTTGCTAAGATAGGAAAATATGAAAGCAATTTATGTAAGAGTTGATCGCATGGTCTATTGCTCCTAAAAAAACAATCCAAAAGATTAGGCATCTCCAAGACTATAAAACCAGAAAAAGAGGAGATAATACCTAAAAATGTAGAAGAATAAGTATCTTTAGTAGAAGTCACTTTTAATGGTGCTCGCATATTTTTCAAATTTCTCTGCTTCTACTTCCTAAAACTCAATAAAAAAATGCTTTCATGTGATACCTTCCATATATGTTATATATGTGTGTCTCTATCTTTTACTTGTCCTTTTAATGTTATTAAATTCTTACTTGGTGGCTTGTCACGAAACTCCTGGCATCTTTCTTCTATACATTGAGCCTTCATGCAATATATGCAGCATATGGAATCTTTATTAACCATCTCTTTTTGGTGTATCAACTTATGCTCCTAAACAAAATAGTTTTGAATCACGATGTTTTTTAAACAATCTATAGTGTTATTGGATATTTCTATATTATTTCATTTAAATAATGGAAAATGACTTCATTTAGGGAAGAAAAATCTTCCTTTCAACAACAAAACTACATTTAATCTAGAAAGATAATCATAAATTCGATCTTTTGTGACAAACCTTTTAAAAAGGATATAGCCTCATAGCATTTCATTTAGATGCATTGATAACGATCCTCTTTTATCAAAGACCTTATAGTAGAAAAGTAGTTTTTTTTTTTTTTTTTTTATCGTTCATCCTCCTTAATTTGGGCCACAACAAGGGCCTTAGAATATGTTTGATTTATTGTATCCCAAATTTCTTTGCTAAATAAACATGAGGGTGTCACTTGTTAAGTAACCATGAAATTCAAATACCAAGATATCGCCGCGGCCTTTGATTCATTCAAAGTATTGAAATTAGGATCATCTTGAAGAGGTTCAATTCAAAGTAAATGAATTAATTTTCCTCTCCCTTTCACAAAGGTTTGAAACATTCACTTGGGTTAATTCTTTCTATGCAAATGATACTTTGAACGAATATTTTAACATTCTCCCATTGGATTTGGGATGTCGACTCAATTCCAAATAAATCTAAGACCAAAGAAACATGGATACTTTTGTGATTTATGGGAGTAAAGAAAATGATGGCAACGGATTGCAAAGGGAATGAAAAAAGAGATGAGATTGCAGCGATAAAAAGTACAAAAATTAGATTAGGTGGAGTAAAAAGAGACGTGCAGTAATGAAAGTTCACAAGTTATGGGCAATATAATGACAAGGTCATGACTTAAATGCTGAGGAAAAAGAGTTAAGGCTCTCATATAATTACAAGAATTGGTAGAATTTTCCATTCCTTCATTTATATAGTATTTATACAAAAGTTTCTAATTGAAACATATAAAATCAAAAACAATAAATACAAAATAATTGCAATAGTCAATAAATTAATGAGATGGCACAATAATAAATGTAGAATAAATGAATTGAAGAGATACAACTAATAATCCAACGAGTCAATGGTGTAGTCTGATGTCAATAAAGAAGGAGGAGAAATATTGAGTTTGGTGGAACATTTGATGACAATAGAGTTGACAAAAGTGAATTTGATGAAGATTGGTTTTTTTCACATAATCTGATTCGATTTTGTGTCAAAATTCAATTTGATTGACTGAATTACCAGGCTACAATTATTCAAACTTATAGGGAGAAGGCAATTAAATTAACCATCAAGATACCTCAATCTTGCCAAATGAATGACAAATTTCTTTTGTAACATACGACTAATAATTTAAAATCACATAAGAGTTAAGCTTTCAATCCAAATGGTTAAGTTTTCAATCCAAGCATGTTAAGATAAACCCAAACATAAATATTGGTTCAAATAAGATTTCATTTTATTACAGACATGATGATAGGAATACATCAAAAATAAAAAAAGGGGTTTCACCTGTATCTCCTATCCTCACATAACTGGTTGCATTTATTGCCTCATGACGGCATTCCATACTAACCAGATCCACTCATCCCAACATCGCACCAGCTCAATAGGCCTCAAAAAGTTTGTATTGCAAGCTATGTGAATTCACCACCCCCATCTAATTCTCGATTGTAACTAGCTAGTTATATGTTGTAATAATGATATGCATCTATTGAGTAATGGGCCGTGATGAATTTAAGCATGGCATACATACAAAATAAAAGTAGGATTTAAAGACACCTCAGGACATAGGTACCTCCTATTAGATATCATCGTAATTATCATTTATTTGACCTCCGTTTAAATGAAACCAGCCATCGCACAAGCAAGAATCTGCTAGCCATATTGTCTAGTCAATGCCTATCAATCGAAACTATAACTCGGATACCTATGAGTCCAATCCTTCATACTTTTAATTACCAGAAGGCACAAGCCCTCAAGATTTCAAGTATTTCATGCATTAAGTTCAACTCCTTTGGGAAAACCTTGTTGGTCAATCGGCAGAAGCATGAATCAATAATAGGTCTAATAACCATACCATTCTACAATTTAGATTGAAGGTGAGTTAGGATGGCTATACACAAACTCAATCACATCCCTTCAAAACACATATATCTACTAAATCCAACATATGTTACGTAGTGTCTTCTAACATATCCGCAGAAAAGCTTCAAGAAACCTCATAATCCCATGATAGTCATCATAAGTTTCGATGTTATCTTCAAGAAGAGTACATGACACATAATGTATGTCTTTTTTTTGGGAGAGTGAATCCATAACAGATGCCCTCCGGACAATTAATACCATCATCAGCCAAGTGTAATTTCTCAATCGCAAAGGGATGTGAAGGCCAACCTCAAGAAGATCACCAAATAAATCAATCTCTAAATGAACAATTGATTTTATCAAGAAAACAAGCATATATAGAGAATTGTTGGTACAAATCTCGATGGACACTTCTTCGGTACAAGGAGCCTCAAAGGTCTAAACCTCCAAATCAATTACTTCAACAATTTTGGCAGCTAGTTCAATCACTAAGGGTGCCCCAACTTAGGAGATATTATCAAATTACCTTGCCTAAGACGCGATCTCATCATCACAATCATTATTAGCATATTTGGCATAACCCACGCAACAAAAAATAATGAAAGAGAAAGTGAAGCAAATTCAAAAAGGCTCACCAAGCAAAGTCATGAAGTGAGTTTCATCCGATCGTGAATATGATTGGAATAACTACTTTGATAAAATTTTACGTGGACTTAAATACAAATTCAACATCAAAACTTCCATAAATGCTGTTTAAAGCTCATATTTCCAAAAAATGAAGCAGTGAAAAAAAAAGAGAGCAAAGAAAGCAAGAAGAACAAAAAAGATGGAGAGCCCGAGTGCCATTTGACACTATTTAATTGTTTAATTATTTCAAAATAAGAAGAGTAATGTTATGAAAATTCACATTCTCTTCAAATAAGTAAACTAGCAGCTTAAATGCAGCCTACACCAGGTACAAAATTCAAGGACGTGGATTTAAAATGAAATTAAAATCAAAAGATCCAATAATTAGATTGGCAAATCCAATCAATTAAAGATACATCCATCTACTGATCTTTAAAACTACATAAACATATCATACATTGTTGTTGGTAAACCATTTTCTCCCTCATCATAGTGGACAGAAGTCATTAGTGACCAAATCACTACCACTTAGTCCCCATTGTCTGTGCAATAGCATTCTATTGTTTTCCATTATGAACTCTTTAATTCTCAAAGTAATTCACTTAGTTATGTGTGTCTTAACACAAACACAACCCTAGCCATCTTTCAAATCACATTTCCAACACTATTTTAAAACAAATAGTTGCTATGAAGTTCAATAATCTAGACGTACTTACCAGATGAATTATGGTATAAGAACATTACAAACATTAATTTGAAAGAAGCAAACATCGTCTCATTATAATGAAGAAATTTTGGGGGCCAGATCAAGTTGCCATCTATGGATTGCCACTATTACAACAAGGAGGTTAGGAGTTTAAATTATAAAACAAAGCTCCCGGAAAAAGAAAAAGTGAGCAACAATGAACAGAAAATCATCCCTAGATGCCTCAAAATACATTAGTCATTTGTGAAACTTGACTTCCAACAAGAGAAATATTACCCAGATGTCATAAAGTGTGAGGTGAGGCATTTGATTAAAACTTTGACTGATTCCAAAATAAATAAATAGTATTATTAGTAATCAAGAAAATGAGCATGCGGCATCCGCATATAAATGAAATTCGAATACAATTTGAGGAAGACCAAGTAAATTACTAATACCTTCATGAAACGAACATGAAAAGCCGGACGTTTTCCAGGGTCCTTCGCATCTGCAAGCAATTTCCAGTGTAACAAAACATCTTCCGCTCTATCAACATTAATATCAACACCATAACTGCGCAGTGAATGCACCCCATCAGATCCATTCAATGATTAATCAAAAAATTGAAATCATGTTGAAAAACAAACTTGGTGCTTACTGTCCAATCAGACAGAAAACAGAATCTAATAGAGGATTCAGAAACCCCAACAAATTAAGAAACTGAACGTCATAATCGGATCTAGATTTCTAAATATTTAAAAATTGTCGAAGAAACTTCACGAAATGAAAATTGAACAACAGGTTATGTTACAACAGAACAAACATATGATGCATGCGTCAAATAAGGCCGGGAAGTGTCCATTCCAAATCAAATGCAAGAATTTCATATTGAGCAGTCCAATTTTTCAAAACTAAAAAGCATCGAATTCGCATGCTGAATCGGGAATCACGAATTGACAGTAAACAAATAAACTCTACAGGACAAGACATGAGTAGCAATCAGAATAGGAAAAGACAAAGTATCCTGAAGCAATAAGTGATTGACTGCATTTATAACGAAACCTTGTTGGCAACCGGCTAAAGTGAGCATCCAGCAGATCCCTCAGGTTCGGATTGGCGATTGCATCCGGGTTCTCGGACTCCACAAGCCTCATATAAATGTCGTTCTTGATGTCATAAGAAGGGTCCTGACCGGTAAGCCATCGCGGAGGCGACGAGCTCTCTCCCACACCCTCCTCTATGAGCTCCATCGCTCCCAGCCAAACTCACCACACTTCAATCATAGTCACAGCAGGACTTAGGGTTCCACAGCGAAGTAGGAGACGAAGAATCTATGACGGCCGGCGGCCGAGATATAGCAGGGCTATGGGTAACGGCGCGGCCTCAATCGTCTCGAAGGAAGAGAGGAACTGAACCAGAAGCGGAGAGGGCCAGATCAAGCAGTGCGAAAAGCTTGTAGTGAAATGTTCCCGGGGGGAGAGCGGGAGAGAGAAAAGTTTGGGTCCTAAATATAGCAGGCGAGATTCGGCTTAAGGAGCTAGTACAAGGAAAATGAGGATAGGGTTCGAAACTGCAGCTGGATGATCCGATTAACAGGGCAGGATTTGATGTATACGTCAAACAGCGTTGTCCAATAAAACGGTGCTGGCATTATGACACGTGGTCTTCATTAAAATTTTCATTATGACGCGGTAGAAATTTCCGGGCAACATACGGAAAAAGTTAAACGTGGCGTATTCTTGTCAATATTTACACTGCGCATTTAATTCATTATTTACAAAAATAATAATTTTTATCATTAAATTCACAATAAAATCGAACACCACATTATTTTCACATTTTTTTAATTCAAAATGATTTTCTAAATATACCAATGTGGCTGCTAAAAAAAAAGGAATGAGCGTTAGTCCTATAAATAATTAAAATTATAGTATATAATTATCCTATTAAATTAAAATTTGATGGCTTTTAAATAATAAAATTTATAGTATATAATTATCCTAATATATTTAATTTTGATGGGAAACATATGAATCAATTTTTTTTCCACGTTAGGTGATTATAGATCCAAGAATCAAAATAGATTCCTTTAGAACTAATAAAGAATGGCATCTAGGTCCCACCAATCCACCACATTAATTTATCTTAGCACTCAATTCTATTGTACTTTTATATCTGATGTCTAAAATTTCATATTTACATATATCACAGTTAAATCTATAATATTATTTTAAAAATAGCATTATTATCATTTTTTTAAAGTACAATATAATTTTTCTTAACAACAATAATGTTTTATCCCACTAACCCAAGAATCAAAATAGATTCCTTTAGAACTAATAAAGAATGGCATCTAGGTCCCACCAATCCACCACATGAATTTATCTTAGCACTCAATTCTATTGTATTTTTATATCTGATGTCTAAAATTTCATATTTACATATATGGCAGTTAAATCTATAATATCATTTTAAAAATAGCATTATTATCATTTTTTAAAAGTACAATATAATTTTTCTTAACAACAACAATGTTTTATCCCACTAATCTAACTGGGTTCAGCTACATGATCATTTTTCTCTATAGTGTCCAATTGAGTGTCATATTTTTCACTTAATTCTAATATTCTAAGATCATTTTCAATACAATTTGCCCAAGTTTTTTTAAGACCACATTTGTGTTGCTTAACATCAGTCAAAGTTAAAACATATACTCTCTTAATTGGATCATCGGATGGTCAACGTTTACTGTGACCAAACCATATAAGAAGACTCTCTAATCTAATCACATGAGATTGTATAAATATGCAATTCTAGTCTAGAGCTTCTCTTGAAAGTCGACGTGTTAGAGAACTTTATAGTGACAAACAAAAAAGCAATAGGAAAATAATCTTTTATGGGTGTAGAATTAGAGAACTTTATAGTGACATAGTGACAAACAAAAAAGCATCTAGTTTGGTTCTTAGTTTTAGGTCTTAATATTAGATGTTAGCCTTCAAGTGAAGGGACGATGGACTCTAGAGTGAGAGCTAGTATCTCTCTTATCTAACCACTCTTGAGGATACTTAAACTATGAATTAGCCAATATTTTGTATATAACTTGACCAAGGGTAAAGAATATAGTTGCTCCTATTTGTAACAATCCCTCTCACTACTTGTCTTACTCTTACACATGTCACTAATTTCATTGCATGAGAAATGGTATTTTTAATACATTAAACTCCACTTTTTTTATTTTCACTAAGTATTTTAGTCTAGGAGTAGAATTAGTATTGTAGTCATAATTTTACGATATAATCAAAACCAAACCTTTATCGACCTTCCAAGCTAGGGCGTGCAATTCTAGTCTAGAGCTTCTCTTGAAAGTCGACGTGATTAATATCAATCTCCATGGGATCAATATTTGGGGCTTAATTAGAAAACTCTATATTACTTGATAACGATATGTATACTTGTGTAGAATCCGTAATAATTAAAGATATAATAAAAATCTTACTTAAGTTTTTGCCGTAGTTGTTGGGGATTAAAATTTTCAAGTAGTGGTGTCGACTTCATAAATCCTTACATATAAACAATATCGGGAACGAGCAGCAGCCCGAGTAAAGGGTATGTTGTGGAGGCAATGAACCGAAAGAGTGGGCGTGTCGTGGAGGTAGTGGCCCGAGGAATGTGTATGCCATGAAAGTAGTGATCTGAAAGGTGGGTGTGTCGTGGAGGAAACAACCTGAAGAATGGGTGTGTCATTGAGGCAATCACCTGAAAGGGTAAGCATCTCATGGAGGTAGCGGTCTGAAGAATTGGTGTGTTGTGAAAGCAGCGGCTCGAAAGGGTGGGTGTGCAGTGGAGGCAGCCGACCAAAAAATGGGTTTGTCGTGGGGGTAGTGACCCCAAAAGGTGAGCGTACCGTGGAGGCAATGACATTAAATATGGGTAGGATGGGTGTGTCGTGGAGGCAGCGACATAAAGAATGGGTATGCCTTAAAGTCAATCACCCAAAATGGTGGGTGTGCTTTGAAGGAAGCGACCCGATGATGGGTGTCCGATGGAGGTAGTGACCCGAAAGGGTAGGCGTACTATGCAGGCAACGGTCTAAGGATAGATATGTCATGGAGGCAGTAACCAAAAAGGGTGGGCATGTCGTGGAGACAGTGACTCGAGAATGGGAAGATACTCACTGGAAAAAATCATAAAAGTTCGGTCAGTGTACGAATGGACACTCAAAGTGCGACTTGATACACCTAAAATATATAGTGTTTTTAGACACATTTTTATACCTATTTTTGAGATATTGTGCTTTAATGGAAGGTATTTTTGTATTTTTTTTGCATATACAAGTAAAAATAGAGAAAATGCTTAAATGAGTGAAAAAGAATCAAATTTGGAGCAAAAAGGTGAAAAATTGTGCAAAAGATTTTTGACGCCTAAGCGCTAGATCCGGCGCTTAAACAGAGAAGGCCGTGCCTAAGCGCCGAGACCGAGCTTAAGCGTCGAGACCGAGCTTAAGCGCCAATGACAGTTACTAGACAAGTAAAATCGGTTTTCACAAATTTCGAAGAGGTTTTTGAGGCACCCATTGGCTTAATAGGT